GAAGGCAGTAGGATGACATAGTCAAAATGCTGAAAGGAAAGAACTATGAACCATGAATCCAAGTCTAGCAAAATTATTCTCTAAAAATGAAAGAGACTACATCAAACTAAAAAGCTTCTGCACAGCAAAGGAAACCACCAAAATGAAAAAGCAACCTACTGAGTGGGAGAAAATATTTGCAAATAATATATCTGATAAGGGGTTAATATTCAAAATATATAAAGAAGTCATATAATTCAATAGCAAAAAAACAATCCAATTAAAAAATGGGCAGAGTACCAAATGGGCATTTTTCCAAAGAAGACATACATATGGCCAACAGATGCATGAAAAGTTGCTCAACATCACTAATCATCAGGGAGATGCAAATCAAAACTGCAATGAGATACTCTCTCACACCAGTGAGAATGGCTATTATCAAATAGACAAGAAGTAATAAACATTGGCGAGGATGTGGAGGAAAGGGAACCCTTGTGTACTGTTGGTGTGAATGTAAATTGGTGCAACCATTATGGAAAATAATATGGAGTTTCCTTAAAAAATTAAAGGAACTACCATGTGATCCAGCAATTACACTTCTGGGTATTTTTCCAAAGGAAATGAAAACACTAACTTGAAAAGATATATGCACCCCCACATTCATTGTAGCATTATTTACAATAGCCAAGATATGGAAGCAACCTAGTTGTCCATCGATGGATGAATGGATAAAATTATCCTTTGAGAAACTCTATTATTGATGTTTTATCTCTGGAAAAAATATCCGCCTTTATCTCTTACCTTTTTTATTATTGAGGATAAATTTATTTTTGTTTTTTTATGCAGAATGATGGCTGTTTTGGTACTTCAGGTGGAATTCGTGCGTTTCAGCTTCAGAAATGGAAGCAGAAAGTTAATCGAACTAGGAAAGCAGATTTTATACGCACAGCAGAAAAATTTAAGAATCAGTAAGTATAATAATATTATTGTCAAATAACATAACTAGCCGTTTTATTCTGAACGATGTAAAGTTAATTACACATCACCTTATCCAATTCCACATTAAGTTACAAAATTTTAGTCACTAGCCTTTCAAATATAAAACAAGAGAAAGGTGGGAAGTGTGAGGCAAATTCACTTAGCAAGGTAGGCACTTGGTAAATATTTTTGAGTGAGTGATTAACTCTAATGAAAAGTCTATACCCTTGTTTTTTTCTATATATTTTTTTTGAAATGACATTTTAATTAGTCTCCCTCCCTTGGTCTCTGCCCCTTTCAGATCCGTCCTGCACATTATAATTAGATTGAGAAATTTTAATTTGTAGCATATATGTTTTTGTTCTTTAAATAACCAGTGATATTTATTGAGTGTATGTTGTCAACAGCACCATGATATGATAAATATTGTAAGGACTGATACAAGAGAAGAAATCCGAGCACACACCCTACCCTGTAGAGAGCTTTATCAAAAACTGCTTTGAATTTATACAGTATCGATTTGCTAAGGAACTAAGAGAAAAGGAGCCTTTTGTAAGAATATTAGTGGCAGTTGTCTGTTTAGAAATTCTACCAATAAAAAAATATACTGTTTGAATTTTGAAAAATTATACCATATTGTAGTTTTGGGAGACTGAAATCTCACTGCATTTGTGTAGTACTTATACAGTGTTTTTAATACTCAGAATTTGAGAGAATACAAATTTATTTTCTTTGATTTCCAAAATGCATTACTTTAGGTAGAACCGGACTCTAGGTTAGGGGTTTTGGTTTATGTTTCTCTCTAAATAGGGTAATCTACCAAGCAGTTAATGTTCATATATAGGAAACCAGTAGATTTTGCCAATCTAGATACCTTGTCTACCAGTATGTGTTGGTTTTTACAGCTCTGATTAGGTTTTCT